TGCTTGGGACTACTCATGCTAGGTCTGCATAAAAATAAGTCAAGTTGTGACTCGAAGTTCTATGGGAGGTGAGATCCATTACTAGTCCGCTAGGATGGTCAATAAGGAACTCCTAAAACTAGATCCTGTGTTCTAGGAGTAATAGACTAAGACCTTACTAAAAATGAGGTCAATAGGAGGGAGGGACCTGCCAGTGAAACCGGGAGCAAAGAGCGAGATATCAGAAGAGCGGAGGAAATTCGAAGGCTCTGGAATCGCAAACCCTCAAATAAAATGGCATGAGAGGCCGTTGAGAATAGTAATGTGCATCCGATTTTTATATCTTTCAATCTATTTATGATTTATATATAGTATATAATATTGAGTTATCGATTTTTTGTGTAAATTTTATAAAATTGATTTGGTTGAAATCTGTGGGTGTGAAATTTGGGGTATATTTTAAGTCGTAAAAAAATTTGCTTGTAACACAAAATTGGCTATTACAACCATATAGTTTTTCACCTAGGAGAAACCTGAAATCAAATGTCAAAGTTCTAGCAAAATGAGAACATAATTTTTTGAGCAATATACTATCTCAAATTTAATATGCTTTTTAAAAACTTAACTTGGAAAGCATAAAATCTCTCTCTCAAAGAGTGTCGAGCTCGAATTTTCAGAACACACTAGATGGACTCACTAGCTTCCATGTTCTTTTATTTTCAAGGCTCTCTTCTATACATTCATAGCTTGGTTCCAATTTTACTGGATAAAGCCTTGGTTCATTTCATAGGAATGTGAATACTTTGTCTGGCTTACATGTAAACTTCTATTAGACATTAAGAACTTTATAAATGATGAAACATGACAAAGAAGATATATGGGGTGCTTAGTACATTCTTTGATTCTCTTTCAAATGGAATGAGAAAACTATGATCCATGTTTCTGTCTAAATGATTTTATGGTTTCGTAAATATAAACAATTCTTTCATTTTCAAGGTGGTCAGATCTTTAGACTAATGCAAGTTTGAGAGAAAATGTTTTTCTCTTGGGTATACTTCAGCACATCTGGTTTATTTTTAACATGAAGCTAATGTGCTATGGAGATAGTTTCATTATGCTCCATAGGAGGCATGGATGTACGATGAAACACAAAAGATGAGCCCATACCAGTGTGGTATAGATTTTGATGATGAAGAGATATCAATGAGATAGAAACCTTTATTTTCTTAATGTAACTAGATTCTCCTCTTCAAGACGAGGGGCAGAAGAAGCGGATATGGTTTCATGCAAGGTGCTATTTGCTGTTATTTGAAACTTCTTGCAAGGTGGATGGTAGAACTTATGTCCCTTCTTTGGTTAAGAATAGCTCAAAAAATACATTTATCCATTGATCAAGTTTTGCCTTGTTTGGATTATGAATGTGAACTGAAGTTACTCAAAACATCTCAGGACATAATTGATTCGAAGCTCTTAAAGTTATGATAGAATTTGGACATCATTTTAGTAATACTCATTCAATCCAAACTCTATAAGGAACGTTTGTGGTTGTCATAACTCTCCTTTCCCTCCCACCAAAATATATTTGGGTGTTTTTTTTTTTTGAAATAAGCTCGGATTATATCAAAGGAGATGACCATTTTTCCTTGTAGTAGCTTCATTTTGTTGTGAATTTTTTGCACATGAATATATAAATAATGTCTTTCTTTAAAAAAAATGTGGTTAAGATTTGGTTGAAATAACTTCTTGCATCATTGCACTTGAACTATTTGATTTTGATGACAAACTAGTTTTGTACTCTGTGATGAAATTTTGATGAACAAAACTAACTTTATTTTTTTTTAATTGAAAAATTCAGGTGCCTGGCTCAATCATCAATGAATAATGCAAACTAACATGTTTCATAAATATTGGGTATAATAAGACCCAAAATAATACTATGTATAATAGAAAACTAAATTGAATTTCTTTTATTCTCGATTAATAATGATACATGTTTTGTCTTGCAAATTAACACACATCACATTGGGAGGTTTGATTATCAAGTCCCTTACATAGGGTAGGAAATCTAATTTTAAGTGTCCTAAATGATGAATATTTTAGTCTATATTTATAAAACCATATTTTATATTTTTTAGATAAAGAGTGCTAGACTGAAATTGAAAAGGTAATTAACTATTGTTTCAACAAATCTATTTTTTATCTTAAGATAATTCTTTGTTCTATTCCTTAGAATGTCTAATTTTCTTTCCTGAATCTTGGTCTTGAAATTCACATCGAGTTGGATAAAAGATGTTATCGCTATAAAATTTTTTAGCAAGTATTGAATTCTGCTCCAATTATAGCAAATAACTTAAGACACATAGATCACTGTTTTTTACCTTTGTATATGTTTACTTATGACTCTCGGATAGAAAAAAATTAAAACATACATATCGAGGGTCTACCAGTAGATCTATCTCTATATGACCCTCAAATTATAATTCATGTGCTTTCCTAAAGGACTGCCAAACATTTTTTATTTTTTACACTTTTTTTATTTTATTTCTTTTTTGTAATGCGTATGGCGCACACACACATATGAGAGTTTCTTTCATTATTTTATTTTCTACATGGTATCAAAGCATGGTCAGGGCGTTCCTTCCAGCATTTGTTCTTAGTCTTTAAGATTAAGATTTTCACTTCCAATATTTGCTCTTATTCTCTAATATTAGGGTTTTCACTTTCAACTTTTGTTCTTATTCTCTAAGGTTAGGGTTTTCACTTTCAATCTTGTCATTCTTGTCGAATTCTCATTCTATTCACTATATTGAGGTTCATCGTCTTTCTTTCAAAAGAATTGACTATAATTAATGGTGAAAATCGGACCAAAGGAGAACTCAAGGTATTTCAAGGCTTTTATTGTTTGAACAAGAAAATTACTTTCATGGTCTCAAATCACTTCTAAATGGAAAGGGAAGATTCAATACTATATGGATATACCTTTAAAGCCCAAAGATCCAAAGTTGTTACTTTTTGAAAAAAAATTACTCCATAATCATGAAATTATTGTGGAACACCATGCTACTGGCAATCAGTGGGTCTTTATGTTTCTCTTTCAACAAAAATATGTTATGAACACACTGAAAGAAATCAATATGATAATATGCAAGTCGTATGAAACTCTAACTGAAGCAATAAAAAATTGGCCGATATGTTTACTAAAGGCTTTTTTAGCTAAATTTTTAAAAATATCATAAGCAAACTTGAAATAGTTGATCTCTACCATTCAGTGTGAGAGAGAGTGTTGAATTTTTGCTTAATCATAGCAAAGAACTTAATGCACACAGATCAGGGCTTTATACTGTTGGATCTGTTTACTTATGAATCTCGAATTGTAAAGAATTTAAGACACATAGATCGAGGTTTTATACCGTTAGATTTCTCTATCTATGACTCTCATATTTTAATTTGTGTGTTTTTCCTGAAGGATCGTAGACCGCTATTTATTTTTTCTTTTTTTCAATTTTATTCCTATTTTGTAATGTACATGGGAGATATATTTATATCTCTCTTCTTGTACAGAGAAAAGGAATGACTCTTGAAAATTTTTCTATTGTTTTCTTTTCTACATTAAGTTTTCTTTTTCAAATTGAGACAATGGTAGTGAACAATTTTGAAACAAGTAGAACATCTTTTAACAAAGCTGCGGGATTATTCTGTCTCCTATTCCTACTATAGTTGTTATAGAACTATTATATGAGATAATTGTTGTACTTCTTGGACAAGGTGTACATGTGCTAATTTTTTGAGTCATATGATCAGTAACTTTTGAGTTCATGCTTGAGTTGACAAAAGTTTGAAACGAGATAATTAATCCAGTAAAGACAATAAACTCTTGTGAATTCTTGGACGAATTAGTAGCTGAAGCCAACTCTAGACCATTTAGTAGAGTTCTGAACTTGTCATTCTCATGCCTGTGGGGTATTTAATATTGCTATGATAATTTTTTTTCTTCTCAGAAGATTTTTAGGTGCAATAATGATGAAGATTGCGGTGAAAGGTGTCTCCTGCAACAATGAAAGGCTACTGGAAAGAGCAATATCAATGAAGGCCGTTGGAAGAACTACAGTTACTGAAAAGATCTTAGAGAGGGCACATGCAATAATGAATGTTACTGTAATGAATGTTGTAGAAAAGTTGCACTTGCATATTAAGTGTAACAAATATGGATCATGATGATGAGCTGCAAGGAGATTGAAGGTAGAAAGAGCAATGAATTTTAAGTGGATATTTTTTACGCTTGCTAGAGAGGTGATATAGTTTGAAGTTGTTGAGCAAAGATCCATGTATGGATGGCAAATATAACAAAATAGAGATCGTCGAAAGGCTAGAAACACAAAGAAGTGATCATCGAGATCGTGCATGACTAACAATGATACTACCTTCTTTGACCTTGAGCTATGATGGTTTGTGCTTGAGCCATGTAGGGAAGTGATGATTAAAGTCGTGACACAACATGATATTGAAAAAAAGGTCCAAGGCTTTGATACCTTGTGGGGAGTATGAAATTTTTCTTGTTGATTAAAAGTATTTGACACAAGCTCATTGACTGATTGCTCTAAGTAGAAAATAAGGAAATTAGTCTACACAAAAGTTAATAAAAAAAAAATCTACGGCCATACAAATACAAACAATAAGCTTTTCACTATAAATATATAGACTTATATTTTAAATCAAGTCATTCTTTTTCCACCATCTGATTTTGATTTTCTTCTTTGGTATGGAACAGAGTGATCCTAATTTCTTTTTTTGGCATGAATATGTGGTGTTGTGATTTTCTTCTTGGTATAAATCTAGACACTGACCATTTTTCTTCATCTCCATGAATTTAAAAGGGCATTTATTTTTTCAAATAAACTTGCACTATTCTTGTAGGATACTATTTTCCTTAATCTATATCCGATTTTGTGTTTAGTGTTTCTTACATTGGCTTTGCTCAAGTCTTTTTATTCTGTTTTCCTTTTGCCCTCTTGTTCTCTTAGATGGTTTCTACTAAAGAATTGAATGCTATAAGCATTGGGAAGATTGAAGACCTTATTCACAACTTTATGATTATCATTCTAGAACATTCCATGAGAAAAAAAGATGGATGGAAGGTAAATTTCTCTTTTATATCATCATTTATTTCATTACATTGTTTTCTTTGTCTTATGAACATTAGGTACATTTGAAATCTCTGTGATTATGAAGGTTTTTAATTTATGAAAAAAAAAAACAAACAAGAATATTATTTTCCTGAAGGATTTCATATATATATATTTAATGGATTTAATATTTGATACCTGAAGCTTGTCGTTAAGATCAAACTGATATAGTAAGGTATTACATATATAACTGAAGCATGCTGAAAGAAGTAGCACCATTTCTTTTACAGATCATCAAATAAATTCTAAAATATAAAAAAGTTGGACTGTTAAAGGTGAGGACTATGCTCAATTCGTGGGGTTAGTCAGGAGTGTGTTTGGAACTTCTCATGTGTACACTGAAATGACTATTTATTTATTTATTTTTTTTGTAGAGCCATTGTTAATACATTATGTAGCGTTTATCTAATGTTTTCTAAAGTTCTAACTTTGGGGAGTTTACATACATACATCACAATTCTTGCATATGTATATATCTAACACCTAAACAATTATAAAAGTTTTTTTTTTCCCTAAATGGCAACATTTATAGAGCCTTTGCTAATATGTTGTGTTGTTTTATTCAGATTTGCTTGACTTGATAATTATCATAAATTATGTCATACTGAACTTGGCAGTGTAGATACCATTTCTTGATAAACAATGTGCCGGGTAGCAAATGAACATTGATACAGTGTATTATAAGATTTTTTCTGTAGAATTCAGCATGAAAAATATAAATTATATGATTTAAATTTGAATTATTTAATTAAATTAAATTTATTTTTAATCTGCCAAATTGAGGTGATTGAGGAGTTTTTGTTTGCTAGGAATGAGAGTATAGTACATAAAGTATATGTATTATAATTTTGAAGGTTAAAATTCGTGTCTTTTTGTAAATCTTAAAAGATATGTAGAACAAAAGTTTTTTTTTCTTGAATTATGCATATATGGAATATTATACATTTTTGCTCATGAAAGACCTATTAAATATAGAAATTCCCATATTTGAGATGACTGGCTTGGTTTGAGATAGAAAATTGAGTGTCTAATGGTACGTGATAATGTAGTTTCTGTTTATTTTCTTACCTCGTTTGGTTTTGTCTGCCAGACAATCCAATCTGAGAAAACATGCGGTCAGTTCATGACTAGGGAAACTTAACCTTGAAAAATTAGATGAGTCCTTTCCTACTTGTGTCTGCACGTGTCCTTATTACTTGGTTTGATTACCAATCCCAGATTAACATGTCGTAGAACAATTTTTTGAAGATATCAGCTTAGGTAATATGGTTTTTATAGGTGTAGTTAGTGGGGAATATTGGATTTCCATTCTTATTATTGATCGCTTATTCTGCATTTTGGTCATATATATTCAAACTTTAAATATATTGGTTTGCGCTGAACATTTTATTCAAAAACTTTTCTTTTTATAGGAGGTAGAGGCAACAATTCATTGTGCAGAATGGCTCTCTATGATTGGAGGATCCAGCATTGGTGAGTTGCGCAGAAGGTATACATGATCTGTGGTCATTCCCTAAAATCACATCAATCAACTTATTTGCTCATTGCTCCACTCATACTCAATAATACATAATTGAAGGCGTGAAGAGGCATTGCCTATATTCAGAAGGCGGCTTTTGGGAGGCTTGCTAGATTTTGCTTCTTGGGAACTTGCAGCTCAGGTAATTTGTTTTTTTTTTTTTTTGAGTATAAGTTTCTGAATTTGAACAGTTAATATTCAGCTGTACATTGATCCAATAAAGCTACTATTCATCTCAGGCTGAAGTTTCAAGATTCCTTATCTGCAATACGTCATTTGTGGATGCTAACATCATTTTTAGAAACATTGAAGCCTACTAATGATCTCAAAATTAAGGTTGTAAGGTCTCAATCACATATTATACATGTTTAGCATGCACTAGAATCATTCCAAGCCTTATGTCACACCCCAACTGGCCCCTATTTAAGGGTCGACTGAGGTGCGACGAAGGCGGACAATTCGACAAGACTAATTATTCACTAACACTCGTCCCGACTTGCAGAATAAGGATCTAGTGAATGATGAATTAGTCTAATTAAATTACTGCAAACATACGTGATACATTTTTTTTCATAAGTCATTCATATTTATATTCAGAAGCGTGGAAAATCATATCATCAAAATATATAAACTACACAGGGCTGTTAAACCCAACATAAATAAATGTATGTACTAATAGATGCACAAGCTCCCCGAAATTATATAGTGCAAAAACTGCACAAATCACATCTGTCTACTTGCTCAAGTGTTCTTTGCATTTTTCTGAAAGGAAACAACATACAACTAGTAACAACGAGCTCAACAAAATAAGTAAGGCTAAAATAAGATTTAATACACGAAAATGAAATAACACGCATGCTCATATGAAATTGTACACGTTTACACACTATTCACAACATGCTAGAAGCATATATAACATGAAAATAAAACATGTAGCGTAGAAATCAAGATTGTTGTGTAAACATGTATGTAATTTCGTTCATGTATAGACAATCATAATATTATAACAATGTCATCATAACCATATAATCATAGCATCATAGTAATGTTATTTCATAATAATATCACATGTAAATGTATAGGCCTAAACTATTTTCATTTTCTATCTTATCATAGGTCGTTACCCTGCCTCAAAGGTTATATTAAATATCAATAATAGTTGGGCCCCCCAAAATAACAGTTATCAACAGCCTCACTGATACTAACGATTCTCTATGTTCTGTCACCGTCCGATTACAATGGTTTCAGAGTTTCATCTCCGTATGAACGCTAGAAGTTGGAAATACCACATCCCTGCATAGCGTACTCATAAGCACTTTTGTAATGATCTACCACAATGACATTTTTTTAAAGCATAATACCTGTAGCAAACATTTATATGCATTTCGTATGTCGCGTGTATGAATCATAGCAATTTAATATCTGTAGACAATTAATATCATAAACATAACCATATGTATCATAATATGATCATAGCTTAATAATATTGCATGCATCATAGGAAGAAATCAATTTATATTCATACATTCAAAGCATGTATTCATCCAAAATATGCATGAATTTCTAAATACATCCGTATCAAACAGAAATCATATGAATATGTATAGAGGATTACTTTTCTTACGTCAATACAAAATTATTTCACTTAACTTAACGGAGTAGCCCTACGACGAATTTCCTCACGCTCGCCTCGAGCTCGCTGTCTTGAGTAAACAACCTAAAACATAACTTGCGTTAACCCAAAACATGCTTTAAATGCCAATACATACCTCAAATGAGTTTTTTGGTATAACCCAACTTTTCTTTGATCGGTGTAAACTTCTCCCCTCTTCTTCCTAACACCTCACTCTTCCTTTCCCCTCGTTGAAATCATGCTTATAGCCCTTACGGAAGCTTGCAAACCAATTTTGACGCTTTCGACATAAGTTTGAAGCCTGTTACTTCAACTGAAAGTGAAAAATTGCACAAAATTATGGTAAATGTCATAATTGAAGTTTGAGGAAAAAATGAATATCTCAAATAACACGAAAGAGAGATTCATGCTCACCAAAATCACCTCATAGACCCGATATATCTACAACATTCACACATTTTAATAATTTTATTACCAATTGTTGCAACTCTATCACTAAATCTGCTACTAAAATTACATTCTATGTATTCAGTTCTAGATCTATTAAAACAAAGGCAATTATACTCTAATGTAGACCTCCATAATTCATGTTTATCATGAACCTTTTTTCTAGTTTTATCCACAAGGACATCATTAGCCAAAAACATACACCAAGGTACTTCTGTAAATGCCTAGTAAGTGCATCCATAACTAAAGCAAAAAGTTATGGGCTTAAAGCCGATCACTAATGTAATCCAATTGCAATAGAAAATTACTTGGTCAATCCTCCTATTTGAACACAATTAACTGTTATGAAAACGACTATAATAAAGTGAAAAAATCAGATTGAAAAATTGTAAACTAGAAAATAACAAAGATTTACGTGGTTCAGCTAATTTGCGTACGTCCACGGAGCTTCATAGGATTTTAGTACTTTGAGAAATTTCACCGTCGAGTGCTTCGACGTTTATAAGAAAAACTTCCTTTCTCTTTCTCTTTCTCTATTCTTTCCGCTCTCTTAGCTCTCAAGAGAACTTGGCTTAGCGCTTATGACAAACCAAAATAGGCTATTTAAAGAAAAAGGGAGAGGTAGGTGGAGAGAGATAGGTGAGGTAGGTAAGTCACAAGCTACATATATTTAACAAGTCACCCGTCACCCTCTTGGAGGCTGAGACACTGACTGCACCACATACAGATTGCATCATCTGCTGGCTATAACGACCTTTTTCCTCAAACATGATATCCTCCACTTTCCTCCACCTCTGCAACTCATGGCTCTTGTATTCACACTAGAAAACCAACTGAAGTCGAGCACAACTTCAGTTTCTAAAAAATAACACCCTTAGTTGACATATCAGCGCCAACGTAGTTTTCTACCTCCAAGCTTTTTCTTGGGTTACTCATGAATCTGCTTACAACTCCCACTGCATGGGCAATATCCTGTCTCAGCTGAAAGTTTTTTTCAACAAGTTCAGTCTTGCACCTCTTGCTGCCATCAAACGAAGTCTTCACCGGTATACCCACTTGTTGTGTAATGTTTTTTTCTCTGGTGGATGTTCTGTTAGCTCTCACTTGCTCGAATTTTCATCTTGCAAGATTTCTTCATAGCTCTGTAGTTCTCTAACATCTGTCTGTGGAACAATAGAAAAAAATGTCCTGGACCCACTCTTCTCTTCATTTCCATCACTGCCCTGCACTGTGGCCTCGGGTAGATCAACAAATCTTACCTTTCTATAGTAACTAGAGCCTCCAAGAGATGCCATTGGAGAAGGTCCCCACACATCTGTGTGTACAAGTTCCGGTTTTCCTCTTCTTGGCGCTCTGCCATTTTTCAAGAAACTGTCATTCTTTTGTTTCCCCTCAATGTACATCTGACTCATGTGTTCATGCCTGAGTAAACCTGTAATCATATATAATGTGTTATTTTTCTTATCCCGAGCCAGTACTAATGCTCCTTTGGTAATCTTTCAGGTGCTATCTGAGAACACTACTGAATGACCACCCTCATTGAGCTGCCCGACAAAAATGAGGTTTTTCTTCAACTCAAGAACGTGCCTGACTTTTTGCAAAGTCCATTTTCTCTTATTAGCGAGTGCAATATCAACGTCTCCCATCCCATCCCCACCACGTTCAGAGTTTTTCTATCAGCCAAATATACATTCCCAAAATCACCTGCAACATAATTTCACATCAACTCCCGGTGGGAAGATGTATGGAAGGAAACCACTGAATTCAGTATCCAGTTTTCAATAGAACTGTTGACTGCTATCAATAGCGTATTCTGTATTTCTTCAGTTACAACATTAGCGCTATCATTCTCTTTCTTCTTAGGATTCGTGCAATTCTTTTTTATGTGACCAATCTTACCACAATTCCAGCAGGTTGCCTGTTGACCAGATTTTGATTTTTATTTTTCTCTGATTGAGTTCTTGTCCTGTGATTTCCCTCTGGAATCAACATTTAGTGTCGAAATCGAATTTGAGGTCTCGACAAAATCTTTCTTGCGCATCTCCTCAGCCAAAATTAAATGACGAATATCATCATATTTCAGTTTAGATTTTCTTGCAAAACTGCTAACTACCATACTCATGACTTCCCAGCTATTTAATAATGAAATTAACAATATCAACGCACGTATCTCATCGTCAAAATTAATTTCAACAGACGAACATTTATTTGTGATAATGTTGAAATCATTCAGTGTTGAGCAATAGACACACCTTCCGCCATCTTCAAGTTGAATAACTTTTTCATCAAGTGCTCTTTGTTATTCGACGATGACTTTTTATACATACCTGATAAAGCTGCCATGAGATATGCAATTTTCATTTTCTTGATGACATTTTGGGCAACAAATTTTGACTGGGTTAATCGAATAACCCCCAGAACCTGTCGATCCAACATGTTCTATTCCGCCTCGTCCACTTTTCAGGTTGTTTTTCCAGTAATGAAAGATGAAGTTTCTTCCCAAAGAGCAGTTCTTTATCTACATTTTTAGTAACCAAAATCTGTGACATTGAACTTTTTGATTCCTGATGCCATCACATCGTCTCACCCCATCGTTTTCTTTTAGCCTCGAATCAAAGTTTGATACCAAATGTTATGAAAAACGACGACAATAAAGTGAAAAAACTAGATTGAAAAATTGTAAATCAGAAAATAACACAGATTTATGTTGTTCGACTAATTTGCCTACATCCACGGAGCTGTAAAGGATTTTAGTACTTCGAGAAATTACACCGTCGAGTGCCTCGACGTTTACAGGAAAAACTTCGTTTCTCTTTCTCTCTTCCTTTCTCTCTTAGTTGTCAAGAGGACTTGGCTAACACTTGTGACAGACCAAAAGAGAGTATTTAAAGAGAATGAAAGAGAGGTAGGTGAGGTAGGTAAGTCACATGTTACATATTTTTAACAGTAATTGCTTTAGTATACATAAATATTTACAACTAGCAAAAAAAAAAGATATATAGTACCTATAAACTCTCGCTCATCGATCTCTGTACACTCTCTCTAGGATCCATCTAACATAAAGTTGGTTTTCCTATAAAATTTTAGGCATTGAAAGTTTTAGTTAAATTATTCAGGGTGCAAATATTTCTAAATTATTATAATTCTAATTTTAAAATATGTTATAAAAATACAATAAATAATTAAAAAATCGAGTAGTAAAAAAAAATTCATTTACTTTCATTTATTATGGGTTATATATTTTATTGCTAGGAGTCACGGTCTTAACATATATTTTAAAAATATGTTTAATCTTTTCCAACCCACCATAAAGGTAGACAATCATTTTCATTTTCGTGCACAGATACCGTGGGATTCAAAAACTTTGACTGCTCCCTAGGACTCGACATTTATTTATTGTTGTTTGAGAGCCTTGATAGATATATTTTTAGGAGACAACATGGATTGTAGATAAGACACTAAGAGATTTCGTCCTCATTTTGAGAGAATTTTTTTGATTTGGGGTTCGAGGTTTCCCATAGGTGCAACCCTCTATGGTTAGTTACCTCTCTCAATAATGGGAGAGCACTTTCAATTAAGGATACTTATTAAACATTAAATATTTAACATAAAGTTGCAACTGACATACAATTAAGTTGTAAATTTTATCACTTGAGCGTAAGGAGGATGGTGAGGAAATGAGGACGAACTCAATCAAGATCCTAAGGTTTCGTTGACCCCGGTTATTGTGGTCCATGATCTACTTAGTCAGAGAAGGTGGTTGTCCCAACTTGACTGAATAATATTTGTTAGCAATTATGAGTTGTGTCATTCAAGAGATTCTTATTAATTTGGGTTGAAAGTTTGTTTAAGTGGACAAACTTATGTCGACCTTAGCTGACAAAAAGTTTTGTATCAATCAATTATATCCCTATAAGCTTAAATTTTAACGCTCAAGTTTTTAAATACTTTTAAGTCCAAAGAGCCTAAATTACAAAAGTTCAAAGTTTTAAATATTTTTGAAATCCTAAGAGCCCAAGTTTTAAAAGTTCAGATCCCATATATTTTTGAACTATAGGAGCCAACATTTTAAAAACTCAAAATTTTAAATTATTTAAAATTGAAATGATTCACATTTTACATTTTTCCTTATGATTGATGAAAACCTCTATTATTGAGGAATTGAAATGTAACTGGGGCGTTGGTGAGACCAAACGATATTACCAAGAACTTGTAATATCTTTCATTTGTCCCGAATGCTGTCTTGTGCACATCCCCTGGTTGCATCCCTACTTAAGATCGATTTTCGAGTAGATGACTGCCCCATAGGGCTCATCAATCACAGAGATAGGATACTTATCCAACATAACCTCTTTATCGAATGACCGACAGTCCATGCAAAATCTCCAACTACCATTTTTTTTCTTCATCGACAAGATTGGACTGAAAAAGGGGCTCACACTGGGCTTGATAATTTCTGCTTTGAGCAACTCTCAAATCAATTTTTTTTTATCTTGTTTTTCTTAATTTGAGGATATTAGTACGGTCTAACAGTGATAGAATGGATAATCTCCTTTAGGTTAAAGGCATGCTCATGATCTCTCGACGACGGTAATTTTGCTAGGCTGCTAAAGTACATCGGGAAACTGCTTTAGGAGCTACTGAACTCCCTCGGGAAACTTCGGACTCGGGATCTCAGATCTACTCTATGCTCTGCAACTCCACTGAATCGCCTAACCCAGAACTCCATATCTTCTTGATCATGGTTTTGAGTGAGTGCATGGTTCTGCATTGGATAACATCTCCCCTCATCATCATCTTCCTACCCTTCACGTTGAACTCCAGGGATTTCCAATCAACCTTCGTCCCCCAAATTTTCTACAACCACTTTATCCCCAAAATCACTCAAGTGCTGACCAAGTTCAGGGGAAGGAAGTTCTCTACCACCCGTATGACATGTAGTGTCTGAGCCACTCTCTTGCAAATTCCTCGACATTTCTCCTTATTCCTTGTCCCCTTCATGACATCAAAGCTCTCCATACCTAGCAGCTTCAAGTTTAGCTGAATCACGACCTGATTTGAGATGAAATTGTGTGCGGCACCACTATCCACTAACAACACAATCGTCTGCTTTGCTCCCTGATCTGTCCCCTCCTCCGACTCCTCGCTATCTTTCTCCTCATAAACTACAAGGATTTATAATGCTCACTCCTTGTAGTGGTGCCCAGAGACATGCTTCTCATCGCCTCAGAAATATAATTTCTTCACTCTTTTATCCTGCACTTTTGTATCGATGAGATGCTTGAAATTTCCCCCAGAATTGGTCCACACATTCTTCTCCTTTGTTGTCTCTTTTTGAAACGACACTGTTTGGTCCTCGATGTTATGGTTGTGTAGGCACACTTGTAGAATCCCCTTGCGGTGCTGCCTTTGCCGGACTTCTTCACCCATTTATTGTCTTCCATCATCTGAGCGAGCTCCATCACTCCTTCAATCTCCGCGATCTCAAAGGTCGGAGGGCTGCTCGGATGCTGGGCTTTAGGTCCTTCAAGAAGTTCCATGCCAATCCTGTTGTAGAAATACCCCTAAACCACCCCGACAAGAGCTTGAACTTCTCCTTGTATTCCGTGACCGTCCCCTCCCGAGTCAGAGCTTAAAATTGCTCATGTAGGCACCTTCCTGGATGGCTTGGAAATGTTCCAACAACCTATTTTTAAACTCCTCCCATGAATGTATTGGGTACCTTGTCTCCATCCGCTGAAATCATGCTAGGACATTTCTCTGCAAATATAATCCTGCCGCCATGAGCTTCTCTTCCTCAGTTAACCCTATTATTACAAAACATCACTCCACCCAATACAATCACCCTTGTGCATCTTTCCATTCAAAGATCAACATCTTCAGTTTCCTTACCCTCGCATCGCCACCCCAACTTTTTCTCCCTCTGAAGTTTCCTAGGGTGAAACTCCATCCTTTATTCATAGCCATAGCCCCTCCCGCTTCTCTCCTTCTTTTGTTGTGCTCCTCTGTGCTCCTTGCAACACCCCTCCAATTTTTTGCCCATCCCCCTCCCTCGTAAATTTCCAAACCCCTCCACTCGGAGTCTTAGGGGGAAGCTCTTGGTGTTAGATGCTTTTCTCCTCGTCACCTTCTATTTGATCTTCTTCGATTTCAATCTAGCCAAGGATTCTCTGATTAACTCTTAGTTAGGGCTCGCAATTTGAACCGTCTGAGGGGTCTTAGATTGCATCTCCAGGAGCCTCTTCATGATTTCCTCATGCTTCCGAATCGATCCTCCATTCAGTTCTCTATGGAAGAAAGCCCATCCTCTATGTTGACAAACCATTCCTCCATCCCCGATCTGATTTGCTCTACTTCTCCTTCCAACACATCCATCTTCTTTGCTGCTATTCTTTCAAGATATTGCTCTGATACCAATTTGATATTAACCGGAACCAGAACCAGAACCAAAACTAGTGAATAAATTGCGAATAAATTGTAATAGAGAGATAAAGGAACTCAAACGAGGGTTGATTTTACTAATATCGACGAATGCGAACAAGATACAACGTTGATCTATTGCTCGAGAAGTAGATTGTTTTTCTACAAACCCTAGAAGCCCACTAGGAACACCAAGCTAAAAGAAAGACTGTAGCCAAACAAAATATAAAACAAACCCTTAATAATTAACCCCCATAAATACTCTCCAAGTTCCCTTTTCAAACTTTCCCCTCAAAATCTCTCTTGAATACCCTTTGCACGTGATTAGCGGCTATGTGGACCCCTCCCATGTGCTGAAATTGTGCACCTCTCCTAGGTATCCTGTCCCTCTATGTTTGGCCAGCTAGGCTAGCTGGGAATGATTGATCTAAACCGGTCCAATTTGGACGGGTTTGCCTCTCCCGCTCCTGTCGCTCCTCCCATCCCTGTGAATAGGAGGCTCAAACGTATCACATAAAAACAAAGTTTAGGTGTTAGATTTGTAAATGCATAAGAATTGTGTGGTTTGTATGTACATGCCCCTTAATTTTTCTATTATTTAATTTACTAATTTATAGATCAGTACAGGTACTGTAGGGGATTTTCTTAGGGTGCGTTTGGGGCGGCGGTGCGGTGTCGGTGTGGTGCGGTACCACAGTTTTTCTTTTTGTTATAAAAAAATTGTAACTAAAAGCTACGTTCTCTCACTAGACCTGGCTACCTGCTGTGCCCCCCCAGAAAGCTGCGGCCTGATTTTTTACAAAAAAAAAAAAAAATTGTAATAGCCACCGCAACTTTTTGAATAACAGATTCTTCTTCAGCAGCTTCATAGCTTCTTCTTTAAACAATTGCAACTGCCCATACAGACCCTTAGTAATCCTGAGTACCATTGTTTTGGTATGTTGGTGTGTCGCCTTAACACAATTGACATTCTTTGTACAACAATTAACTGGACAATGCTCAATTTTTTCTTGGGTGAATGCTTAAATTTTAATTTTCTTTTTCTGCTTTACTTGAATTGAATGTTGGAAAAACTTTATGTATTCTGAAAATCACTAATTTTTTCTCTTTATGACCGTGAAATCTAGATCTTTTTGTTGGCATTTTAAGATACTCTCATAATGTCTTCATCCAGGTTTTGTTTTGTAGCAGACTCAAATTTTTGCTGCAGCAGCTGCTGGCGTCGCAAAAGCTTCACCACAAGAAGCTAAAGTTGAAGCAGAAAATGCTGCACAACTCACTGTGGCTTTGGCTGAGAATGCGATTGTTATTTTAATGCTTGTTGAAGATCATTTGCGTTTACAAGGACAGCGGTACTATTCATCACATGCTGTTGATTGTAGGCAATATTCGGTTGCAACCTCTTGTTCAAATCTCTCCAGCTCTTTGGGTAGCACAGGCCGTGAATCCCTTAACACTTTTGGTTCCAGGAGGGCATCATTATCTAGTCATGCAGGGGGAGTTTCTTTTGATGTATGTCTATTATTCATCGGATTTACTTATAACAATTCATTGTTGCTATGCTTTTATGCTTGTCAATCGGCTTCTTATCTGAAACTAATTATAGCTACTTTGTTTTAATTGTTGCTTTTCTTTGAGTTTTTTTTTTCTGAAATTAAAAAAGAGCTCGGGACACTTGCAAAAGGTAAATGTTAAAATACATGCACATGCATAAGCTATCGTGCATCACATCAGTTGACTTGAATATTTTGTAATGTTAAAAACGTGCTTCATTATAAATTTAATCTACAAGCTGTAAAAATTGAGAATTTGTTAGAATTAATTCTAAATATTTGCTAGAATTGACTCACATGTATGGGACCCACCTCGTAGATTGGAGTAATTGCTATTACCTGTATGTACAATATTCATCCTCTCCAACTGTTGTGCTATTGTTTTTGGCGTGGTATTGTGAACTGCATAAAATCAAGCTGCAGAGTCCCTTTGTTGCTCCGCATAAAATCTGCCTTGCATGCTCCAACTTAGGTGGACTTTGAAAAAAGTACTATTATATTATAGCAGCCTTTTACTCTGTACAAGTTTACTCTATTTTTCTTGGTAAAGCAATTTAGTTTATTTACATTTTAAAGGTTTCATTGCTCAAGTAAAATTTTTTTCAAGCCTACATGGCTCTTCTTTTGTAAGAAAAGTTTATTGAATATGCATCATTAAATTAGTGTCATCTAAAGTTTTTGTTTAGCTTCAATGAACCTATTTACTCTTATCACAAAATCCTCATTAGATGGGCCTAACAGGATGACAAGTTCCTGTTGCCTATCGGGAAATTCAGCAGCCAAGAGAGATGTAGAAATGTTTAAATTGAAAGTATTTGTTAAAAAAAATCTTCTTCATTTCATTGATGACGTGCTTATATTGAGCCTTAAAAGTTACAACATTTACAAATAAATCCACATACTTCATCTATTTACAAATAGGACCCTGCATTATATATAAGTATCAACACTCCCCTTCAAGATGGGCAAATGATATTCACTAAGCCCATCTTGTCACATAATCTAGACAAATCTAATGAGCTATGTTCTTTGGTGAGGCAACGAGCCACTTGCTCTACAGTGGCTACATGACTTATCTCTAGTAGTCCGTTATTCAACTTTTCCTTGATAAAACTCTTATCAATCTCCACATGTTTTGTTCTATCATGTTGCATCGTGTTGTATGTGATGTTGATCGCTGACTTGTTGTCACACCACAATTTCATTTGAGCTCCTTAGTCCACCTTGAGCTCTACCAACAAGGCCCTCAGCCACGTCATCTTGACAACTTCTAAGGCTATGTCCCTGTAGTCTGCCTCTGCTGTTGACCTTGCTACTATAAACTGTTTCTTTCTCTTCCAAGAGACCAAGTTGCCCCCTCAGAACATGCAGTAGCCTGAGATGAATCTTCTGTCATTTGCACAACTTGCCCAGTTAGTATCATAATAGCTCTCAATGTCTGCATGCCCGTTCTTCTTGGATGAAACCTCTGGTGAACTCTTCAGGTATCATAAAATATGATACACTATGTCCATATGACTCTTCCTTAGATCATGCATATAGCGGCTCACTACGCTCACTGCAAATGAGATGTTGGGATGCGTGTGACTCAGATATATCAAACGACCACCCACCAATCTCTAGTTTCTCTCACGATCAACTGGCTTTACTGCCTCTGCACTCAACTTACTCTTCTAATCAATTAGAGAGACTGCAGGGTTGCATCCCAGCTTGACTGTGAGGAGATCTAATACATACTTTCTTTGAGACAAGACCATCCCCTCTGGTCCACGAGTCACCTCAATTCCAGGGAAGTATCTGAGTTGACCAATGTCCTTCATCTCAAATTCTTTGCTCAATCTTACCTTTAGTTGATTAATCTCTGTCTCATCATCACTAGTGATAATCATATCATCAATATACACAACAAGCATAGTGATGTGATCATTTTGACGAAAGAATACATTTTGGTCGGCATTGATCTGTTGATATCTCATGACCGCCATAGTTTTTCTAAACTTATCAAACCAGGCTCGGGGAGACTACTTTAAGCCATAAAGAAACTTTCTGAGCGTGTACACATTGCCCACTATCTGATTTGTAATGAGTTCTGATGGTACGTCGATATACACTTATTCCAGTAACTCGCCTTGAAGAAAAACGTTCTTCTCATTGAGCAGGTGTAAACTCTACCCATCATCACAACTAGAGAAACGAGTGCCCTCATTGTTCTCATCTTGGCTACCGCTTCAAAGGTCTCGTCTTAGTCAATGTCATACATTTGACTGTACCCTTCACCCCCAATCGTGCCTTGTAACACTCCACTTTCCCTGTTGGATTTTGTTTGCTGTGAAGATCCACTTGCATCCAATTGTCTTTTCCTCTCCAGCAATGATACTATCTCCAACATCTTATTCTTATCGAGAGCACCAAGTTCCTCCAACATGACAACCTTCCAGTTTGGATCCTTCTTAGCTACCTACCAACACTTTGGTATAGAAACATTATCCAAAGATGCAATGAATGCTCCGTGTACAAGTGGTATGTTATTATGAGACATACTGAACAATGTCATGAGAGAAACCAATGCAATCAGGAGAATAACTATCAAGAGAACAACACACATTGCTGCTATAGGTCCCCCTTAAAGCCATGAGAGTGAGAGAGAAGAGAGAGGAATCATATCACCTGGGTAATCAGATTCTGAAATTGATGATGCAGGTGTCTTAAGAGTCGTAGTAGAACGGGACAAGGGACTTGTTGGCATGAGCGGTTCGATAGACATTGTTCCCTCATTCTGCTTTTTCCTTCTTGTATACATCATCAACTCCACTCCCCTTGAGCTTGAATCCCTCCACCCTCATTTTCCTCATTTTTCGGATCTCCCTTAGCCGATCCTTCCCACACAACATGACAAGGCATCGTTCCTACGTGTGCTAATTTGTGACCATCACTACTCTCTTCCTCGTGCCTCGTACCTCATACCTCTAATATCTGGCAAGTCACCAAAGGACAAGTTCACCTCCATGGTGTAGTACGGTTCGGGTTCTCTAAAGGACTCCCAACAAACGTACCCCCTTTTGAGTAGCAGAATAACTCACTAATACACTTCACAACTCTGGGATCTAGCTTTCATGCTGATGATTTGTTGTCCTTTACAAAACATACACAGTCAAAAGTCTTCAATGGGAGGATTCCACCATTATCTCATTTCAACAACTCACAAAGAGATTACCACTGCAACACTCTTGTAGGAATTCTGTTGATCAATTGAGCGGCTGTCAAAACTGCTTGCCCACACAGGTGTTTTGGTACATTTATCGAGATCATAATGCCTTGGGCTACCTCTAGAAGATGTCTGTTCTTCCTCTGCGCTACTCTATTTTGTGTTGGTGTGTATGGACAAGTGCTTTGATGTTATATTCCTTAGACATGTACTTTCCAAACGCCTTATTAGTATACTTTGTCCCATTATTGAATCTCAATATCTTCACCGAATTGCGTTTTAATCGCCCTGTGAAAATCTTTAAAGCAGACATGCACATCACTTTTATTTCTCATCATATTTAATCAAGAACATGAGAAAACAATCGATGAAAGTCATAAAATAGCTATAGCCATCCATTGAAATTGTAAAACAAGGCCCCCATACATCTAAATACACAAAATCAATAACAAAAGAATTCATATTACCAAAATTAACACATGATTTCCTGTTATGCTTACCCAACTCACATTCATCACACATTTTTTGTTTATTTACCTACTCATGCAATGACGGATACAACTGACTCAAAAGACTAAACGAAGGGTGTCCTATGCACCTGTGATGTAGCATCAACACATCCTCCACACTCCTCCTAGTTCCTCTTACTCCAGCACTTTCTAACATGAATGTCAGTGCTGAGTCCATACCCTCTCTATCCAAATACCAGAGTTCACTGTACCATTGTTCCAGTTTCAAGTCTCTGGCTAGTCTCGTTCTCTTGAATGATCACCTTAAGAATATCAAAGGAAAAAACACATTTTAGTTGGAGAATAATGACATTAATAGATAAAATGTTCATTGGAAAATGAGGATGTAAAACATTGGACATAGTCATAGAATTAATACATTTCACTGTACTCCTACCAACTATAGGTTGTGTTATACCATCATTAGTCTGAATGTTCTCTGGAACTGCTTGATGAGTATAAGAAGGAAACTCGATGAGTATAAAAATCAAACTCACTAACGTTATCTATCACATGTCGAGATGCACCACAATCTACAATCTATTCTTGTGATCTTATGATGGATTTAAAGGCAATAACATGTGTATGACGAATACCTTTTGCTGAGTGAGCATAAGTAATAATGTTCCCTTTTAATGATGATAAAATGGATGCATTCTCAGTCGCATTACCTGTTGCTTTCTGCTTCCTCTTTGCCATCTCCAGGTGCTCGTGATCCTTATCGATAAGTGTCTCCTTCGTTTTCTGCTGCCATCAGATTTGCCTGATGGGCCCCGCTGCCACTTCCTTGGCCCCCACGATTACGACCACTACCTCTAGTCTGTCCATTTCCACCTGTCTCTCTTTTCTTACGTGGTTTTGGACAAACCTTGCTCAGTTGTCCCACTTCTCCATAGTTATAGTACTTGCGTGTCTCCCGTAGGCACTTGTCATACCTAAGCTCAAGGCAATTGGAGAAGATCGTGTATCTGGAAGTCCACTAGGCTCAAAGTCTAGCCTCATGCGACTCTCTTTCTGCAACATTGTGGTGATGGCCTCATCCAGTGAAGGAATCGTAGCCTGATCTAGGAGGAGCGATCTTCTCTGATCAAAGACCGGGTTCAGATGGAACACCCTCATGTGGTTCTCAGTCCTAGCATAAGTTCTCTTCAGCTTGGCCCAGATGCTATTCACCTTTCGAATGCCATCCAATGATGTTGCAATTGATAAAATCATTGAATTGCGTAGCTAGGTGTAAATCAATCC